CCCCCGTTCCGGGGGGGGGGTGACCAGATCTCCTTAAAGTCTGGCTTACTGTTAAGAGCTGGCTTCTCAGACCTATGTTCATTCCATTGACTGTCATGTCATGAAAATCATTTTTAACTTTGTAGGGGATCCCAGGACCACTCTTTGAGAAGTAGCATATAGGGGGATGTTCTAAGCATTAGAATATGTGTCAGGCACATAGTAGTGCTCAATAAATGGCAGCTGCTATCACTACTGGCATTTCAAGAAAAGAGATGTAGCCCTTAGGGTGTCCCAGAAAGAACAAAGCAGAACTCGGAACTAGACAGGTTATCAGAACTGGAAACAGCAGGGACAGAGATGAACCGTGGGGCATGAGCCCTGGCTATGCAAACCCTGTTACCTGAATTGGCATCTGGTAAAGGAGGGGAAGGAGAGGCAGAGGAGCCATAATGTAGAGAGAGGAGGGCCTCGATCAGCCTTGCCAAGGGGCCCACTGCATAACGGAAGTGCCTGACAGGAAGCCCTTGGGAAGGCTGTGGGGGTGGGGGAATGGGGTCTGGGGCTCCCTCAGAGGAACACCCCTCTGACAGCTCTGGGGTGCTGCGGTGCTGGGGGACACAGTGGGGAGCCTGTCTGGGGGCCTGGAGCCCGTGAGGAGGTAGCCAGGGCTCTACCCAGGGGAGGCAGAGGCACCTGAGGTATGTCCCGAAGGGAAGGGGATTCCAGGGAGTTGGACAGGGCAGCCGTGGGTCAAGGCAGCACTTGCTGAGCTCCTGGGGCTGCCGTACAGAGCTGGGGGGCGGGGGTGTTGAATGGAGAGCTGTGGCCGTAGAGCTTAGAGACCAAGGTTCAGAGCCTGGGGAGGAAGGAGGTTTCCTTTCTAAAGCTCCTGGCTGCAGTCTTTAGCATCAGACACCCTGAGGGCAGGGGTGGAGCTGTCCCTTGTGGGGAGAACTGAACAGTGGCTGTCCTAGGTCACGGGTCTCTGCCTTTCCTGGGCCAGGAGGCTGTTAGGTGAGCAGAGGAAGGGCCTAGCCCTCGTTCGGATTTGTTTCAGCCCTTAACGTGAAACCTTTCCTTCCCAGTTCGGCAACAATCCCTTCTCCTCCCTGGCCGGGAACTCCGACAGCTCTTCCTCCCAGCCTCTGCGGACTGAGAATCGAGAGCCCCTCCCGAACCCCTGGAGCCCCTCGCCCCCTGCCTCCCAGGCCCCTGGGACCGGTGGGGAGGGCACCGGAGGGTCAGGGACCAGCCAGGTGCACCCAACAGTCTCGAACCCCTTTGGGATCAATGCGGCCAGCCTAGGGTCAGGTATGTCCTGGGGTGCAAGGAGCTCATTTGGGTCATCAGGGCAGCCCCTCTGCCCTGGAAGGGGATGGGGTTCACACTACTCCAGAAGAGGTGAGGCTCTGTTAAAGATACAGAGGGGAGCTGCGTTTGGTGGGCACATCTTAATCCCAGCCCCAGGGAGAGGCTGAGGCAGGAGGATCCTGTAAGTTTGGGGCCAGCCTGAATTACATAGTGAGACCCTGTCTAAAAAAAGCCCCCACACACACACCAAAAAAAGCTAGAGAGGACTCAGCAGCTTGTGTAGTGGCCCCACCCTTCAGAGGGTGACTTGAATCAAGCCCTGTCCTCTTGTTCCTGAGAGTGACCTCAGTGTTGGCTCATGAATTAACCAGGCCCCATCTCCCAAGTTCCTTGAGCACTCTTGGCCCCATGTGGTATAAATGGGTCAGACTGGCAGGCGGGAGGCGGGTGGGGCAATGGGAGAGGAGTCAGGGCAGCATAGAGACTCACGGATAGGAGGCTGCAGGGAGGGGTGTTCCTGGTCATGTACGGAGTCTCACGCACTGCCCACCCTGAGGTAAGGCCACGTAATGTCCAGACTGACCTGTACGCTCCCAGGAAGTCTTTGGTGGGTGCCCTGATTTCTCTGCATCCTGAAGGATATCTCAGTTGGGAAAGTCTGTTCTCTCTTGTGTGCTTTAGTTTCCTTATTTATAAAACGGGGACTGGAACTTGATCCATGGTCTTAAAATTGTGTTTCCGAATCCTGGGGGGCCTGGGGGCCTGGTCTCTAGGGTGAGAAAGGACCAAATGGGAGCTAGACCTCTGTGTACTTGGTTTCTGAGTGAGACTGACTGAGAAGGTCTCTGCTGCTCAGGTGGACGTGAGCGCCGTCGGTCCAGCTAGTGCATGGCCAGTCCTTTCCAGTCAGGCACGGCTGGAGCCTGTGGCAGGGACAGCCCAGAAGGACAGATGTCCAGACCGGCCTGTCCTTAGGACCTGTGGGCAGCCCTCGGCCTGCAGCGGGGTGTCTGGTCTCCATCTGGACCCTTCTCTCCTGTGTTGTGTGTCTCCGTGTCCAGGGATGTTCAACAGCCCGGAGATGCAGGCGCTCCTGCAGCAGATCTCTGAGAACCCCCAGCTCATGCAGAATGTGATCTCGGCCCCCTACATGCGCAGCATGCTGCAGGCGCTGGCCCAGAACCCCGACTTTGCTGCTCAGGTATACGGCGGCCCAGAGAAGTGTTGCTGAGGAGGGGCAGGGGTGGGGGAAGCTGCTTGTGGTCAGAATGTTCTGGAGCAGGGTTGGCGGGGCAGGGGGCTGTGTCCTGTGCGCTCCGCTTCTCAGCTGTGTGAGCTGAGCAAGTTGTTTAACTTCCCAGTTTCTTCATCCACAAAATACTACTGGCATTAGTTCCTGCTTCATTCAGTTGTGAGAGTTCGAGGTGTTAATGCGTGTCACATGTTTAGAGCGTGGCCCCGCACACAGCAGGCACCGTATGACCCGGGCCCTCTGATGACCGACTTCGTCGCTCCAGTCATGATCCATTTCCTTTCCCTGTCCCACCCTGACCTTCGGGATCTTTGAGACCCTGGCCAGCAGTAGAGGGTGCTGAGGGTTTCTGAGGCTGCAGGGGATTCCCTCCTCCCACCTTTCCTTTGGCAGATGATGGTGAATGTGCCGCTCTTTGCGGGGAACCCCCAGCTTCAGGAGCAGCTCCGCCTGCAGCTCCCTGTCTTCCTGCAGCAGGTGAGGGAGAGACTGTGGGTTGGGGTGGACACGTGAGCTGGACCGTAAGAGTGAGCGGCAGATGTTAGAGCGGGGGCGGAGGTGGCTCTGGACTGGGCCTCGGGCTGCGCCTCTTCCCCGCTGCCTCCCCTCACGTTTCTCTGCTGTTTCCCAGATGCAGAACCCGGAGTCACTGTCCATCCTCACGAACCCCCGTGCCATGCAGGCGTTACTGCAGATCCAGCAGGGACTGCAGACCTTGCAGACCGAGGCCCCTGGGCTGGTCCCCAGGTGAGGGCTGAGGGACAGCTTGGCTCTGGCCATCGGCCGCCGCTCTCCTCCCTTCCTGCCTTTCTCTGAATAGCCCGGGGGTCTCTGCTCTTCCCTTTGGATCTCGCCTTCTCACCCCTTTCTCGGATGCCATCTCCCATCTCTTGGTGTCTCCTGCCCGCAGTCTTGGCTCCTTCGGGATGCCCCGCACTCCGGCACCCTCGGCAGGCAACAACTCTGGGTCCACTGCGGAAGCCCCCACCTCCCCGCCAGCACCGGCAGCTGCGTCTCCCACCGGGCCTTCCAGTGCCCAGCAGCAGCTCATGCAGCAGATGATCCAACTGCTGGCCGGAAGTGGAAACTCACAGGTACACGGGACAGCGGCGCGGACCGCTGGGTCAGACCACCGCGTCCACACTGCAGTGTCAAGGGTCGGGCGGGGGGCTCTGTGGTCAGCAGACTTGGCCACTGCTGGCCTCAGGCAGCTCACAGGTCACCCCAAGCTCTTTTAATGGCGGCAAGAATGGCAGCGGCACTTACCAGGTGCTGAGTGTTTTGCCGTGACAGCTCCGTCCCTACTCCTCTCCACCTTACAGAAAGCCACTCTGATGTCTGGCCCTGTGCCTTAGATGGGGAAACTGAGGCCCTGAGCGGTTAAGTGGCTCGATCCATTACCATCTAGGAGATAGTGGGGCCGAAATGCAAGCCAGAGCATTCTGGCTCTAAATCCACACTACTATGCTGTGTGTCATTTCTGTGCATTCATTTTTGTGTGCGAGGGATTGAAGCCAGTCCTGTGTGTGCCCAGCTTGGCCTCTCCCACTGGGCCACGTCCCAGCCCATGAGAGGATTCTTTTGGTAATGAAAGCAGTGTCCATCTCAGGGATGAGTGTGAAGGTGGTGACAGTGTCCTGGCCTGGAAAGCGGGGGCAGGGTGAGCTGTGTGCTCCAAGCTCTGCAGGCAGTAGGGCGGCCCACGTGACCCCCAAGGTCGGGCCTGGGGTGGACTCTGACGGTGTGGGTTAGGGCCCTGGGACTGAGCTTGCTCTGCGACCCTGAGCCAGTCCGTCCTTCCTCCGGCCCACACTTGTCTCCTGTCGGTGTGGTGGACAGCACCCACTGAGCCCCTTCCAGCACTGGCTCTTTTGTCCAAGATCCTAGAAAGTGCCTGTCAAGGTCCCCTGGGAAAACGTCTTCAGGAGATGGCTGTAGGCGTGTCGAGAGTGAAACGCCTTCTGCTTTGTAAATAGTTAAACTGTACTCACCGGCACTCCTGCCTTGAGCCCTTCTGACCTCTGCTGTGGCTGTATGTGCAGTGACTGTCAGGAGAGGGTTTGTTGAGTATGCGTTTTTATTTATTTTTTTTTTTTGAGACGGGGTTTGGATGGCCTTGAACTTACTGTGTAGCCCAGACCAGCTGGAACTCATACTCCTGCCTAGGCCTTGCAAGTGCTAGGATTACAGGTGTGCACCACAGTGCCTGACTGAACATCTGTTTTGATCGCAGAGCATTTGACTCATGGAGTACCTGTTAATATCTCTAAACTGAGGCAGACCGGTCAGACACTTTGAAATTTTAAGAAGCTAACAACTGCTTGTTTTTAGTACTATAGGCGAGCCCTCCACCACCGAGCTGTGCCTCCCCGTCCCCACCTCACTGTCCTGTAGTTACTTAGTGAGCTGGCCCTGGGGCTCTCTGACCCTGCTGCGGCTCACTCTTCCCACCCCACTGATGGACTCTGAGGGTGCTGGAGACTGCTGCTCGCACTCATCCTCTCCTGGATCAAACCCAAGGCCTTTGCCCCAGCTACATCCCCAGTTCCTTTTTTTAAGTTTCTTTCTTAAATTTTAAGACAGGATCTGGCTAAGTTATTAAGTTCCGCTAGCTGGGCTTAAATTTGCAGTCCTCCTGCCACAGCCTCCCAAAGTGCTGGAATTACAAGGATGCACCACCATACCCAGCTCTTTTTGGCCTTTTTTTTTCTTTCCTTCCCAGTCCTAGAGATCGAACCCAGAACCTTCACACTGAGCTGCATCCTCAGCCCTTTTCTTATGTGTTTGTTCGATTCAGTCTCACTAAGTTGCCCGTGCTGGGCTCAGACTTTCAGTCCTCCTGCCTCAGCCTCCTAGCGGGCTGAGATTACAGGCGTGCCCCACCATACCGGCTTCTCTCTGGGCTCACACCCTCAGGTCAGATAGTCCCCGCAGACTGAACCCTGAGCCCACCTTGCAACCCCTGTCCTCTCAGGTGCAGACCCCAGAAGTCAGATTTCAGCAGCAGCTAGAACAGCTCAACTCCATGGGCTTCATCAACCGTGAGGCCAACCTCCAGGCCCTGATCGCCACCGGAGGGGACATCAACGCTGCCATCGAGAGACTCCTGGGCTCGCAGCTCTCCTAACCCTCAGCCCGTGCCTCCTGCCCTCTGACTCAGTGCCAGCCTTCGGTGCCTGTCAGCCCCTCCCTCTGCAGTTTGTCCCTCTGCCTTCCTCCTGTCCTCTCCACACAGCAGTGATCTTAGAGGCATGGGCCCCAGCCCCGTAGCTCTGTCACAATTTCAGTTTTACTGCTGTCTCCTGACAGAACCTTCCCCGCCGGCCCTTCTGGAGCACACCGCCCTTTAAACAGTTTACAGTCCAGTCGACCGGCCCCTCCTGGCACAGCCACCTTTTGAAGTCTTCGGGCTTCTCAGTGGGACCTGGAGTAGCAGGGGACCTGGCTGTGCGTGTGGAGCGCAGTCTTCCATCCGTACCACAAGGGCTTAGCGTGGAGCCACCTTCCTTCCCCTCGCTCCCTGCCCGGAGCAGCCAGCCTGGAATGACACGCTGAAGGGGAGCGCCGGTGGTCCGCCTGCTTTTCCTCCTCAACTTCTGTTCTGGTTACTGCACCCAGCACTTCCTCATTCTCTGGGGACTCCAGGGGCCAGCAGAGATGCCTACTCCCCTGCTCTCTGAGCAGGACCGACGGGCCTGGCAGCAGCCTGGGCGCTGGAGTGCGTGAGGAGGGTCGCAGTTCCTCGGAGGAAGAGGCTGAGTGAGGCAGCCTGAGCCAGAAGCTTGGACTGTAATGGACATTTGGGGTGTGGAAGCACTCGGAGCTCTTTTAATCGGGAGAACGCTGGCCAGGCCTGGCAGAGAAATAAGATCCTGGGAGAACCAGACTCAAGGGGGCTCCACGAAGCTGAGCATTTGGAACTCACGGAGTCCGGGGGGCCCTACTTCCTCAATCGCGCCTAGGTACGCACTGGCGCGGGTTCCGATGGAACCAGCACCTTCCTGCATCTTGGCACAGTCATTTCTGCTCCCTTGAAGAGATATGCAAAGGTGGAGACCTGTCTCAGCAGAGGTGTGGCGTGCGTCTGCGTGCTGATTGCTGTAGTGCGCCCAAGAGAGCTGGGTTCCCCGCACCTCGGTGCTGGGCCGCCAACAGTACACAAGCAGTGTGGTACCTTCTGGAACTGTCAGGCTGTGACTGGCCTTTTACTTCCTGTCTCTGCTTTCAGTAATCACAGAGGGATTTCTCCCTCCAGAGTCCTTTTGTTCACTGTTCTTTCTGGGCCAGAAAGTGTTTTAGTTTGTTTGAGTTTTTTGTGGTGCTGGGGATTGAACCCAAGGTTTCGCACATGCTGGGTAAGTGCTGGACCAAGGCTCCGCCCCCGGCACAGTTCTTCAGGAAGGAGAGGACAGGGTGGCGAGGCCTTGCATCTGGACCTGGATGTGGCTCTGCCTGGGCCCCAAGGAGGCTCTGTCACCCCCACCCCCTGGCGTGGGGGATCCCTGGCTGATGATATGGACGAGGCAAGAGGAACAGCCTGCTAGGAGTGGGAAAGGGTCCCAGCAGTCCAGAGATGCCTGCCCATCCCTTCTGACCTCCCCAGTGCTCACACTGGCCTCTGTAAATAAATGGTGTGGTCTTTGTTGTGAGAGCGCGTTGCTGTTTGTTCTCCAAGAATGAGGAGGCTTTTTACAGGACACAAGGTAGGACCCAGAGGAGCCTGAAGCCAGATTTGGTTATCACAGGTGCTAGGAGACTGAGAATTAAGAGATAATGGGCCAGGGATTTAGCTCAGTGGTTCCACCTGCTTCACAAGCCCAAGGTCCCAAGTTTGATCCCTGGTACTGGGGGCCGGGGGGAGGACCAGCTTGAAATACATACTAAGACCCTGTCTCAAAAAACAAAAAAACCCCAGAATGAAACATTAAAATGAGGATGGAAAATGCAGAAAAGACATAAAGACCAAATAAGTTGGAGTTGTGTGTGTGACTGTGTTGCTGGGGATTGAACCTGTGATCCTCCTGAGTACCTGGGATTTCAGGCAGGTCCCCTGTGCCTGGCTGTCTGAGGCAACTGTGTCCTCTGCTGTAGCCCAGGCCCTAGAACAGAGTTGGACACAGGACAAAGTATCCAGTAGGGGCCGGGGATTTAGCTCAGTGGTGCCACCACCTGCCTCTAAAGCGCAAGGACCAGAGTTCAATTCCTGGTACCCCCACCAAAAAAAAAAAGTAACCAGCAAATTCGTGCTGAATGAACGAACACTAGAAGTTAGAACCAGTATTCCCTCCATCCACCCACCCACCTGATCTCAAACACAGTTTGTCCACACTGGGAAGGAAGGAAAGAGGCCAGAAGAGAGCAAAGGAGAAATCCAAACGGGCTGGTGATGAGCTGGGTGTGGTGGCTCAGCCTGTGATCCCAGCACTTGGGAGGCTGAGGCAGGAGGATCACTGTGAGTTCGAGACCAGCCTGGGCTACACAGTGAGTTCCAGGTCAGTTTCAACTACATAGTGAGACCCTGTCTCATAAAACCAAAACCAAAACAAAACAAATGGGCTGGTGAATCTGAAATCAAGAGGGGCCAGTGCCTGAGCCCAGAGAGTAGTAAACCCCTGCACCCCAACACGAGCATGCAGCACTGGGCAGGCACAGGGCTGAGTCTCAGATGCCTGGAAGATTCTGCCCACCCTCAGGCCCTGTCCTGCAAAACTGAGGGATGACTTTTCTGGGAGATTTCTGGGGATTGAACCCAGGGGTTCTCTGCCACTGAGCTACATCTCCAACTGTTTTACTTTTTATTTTGAGACAGGGTCTTGTTAAGTTGCCCAGGCTGGCCTCAAACTTGAGATCCTCCTGCCTCAGCTTCCCCAGCGGCTGGGAATACAGGTTTGTGGCTGACTAAAGAATGGCTTTGATTAGCAAGGAAGAGGGGAAGGCTATTGAAAGCCCAGTGGCATTTTCTGGGCTCCAGAATGACACAGAAACATAGAGCAAATGTGACCAGAAGTGAGACACAGCTTTTCTCCGTTGTGTTCACAGCCATGGCTCTGGGCTGCCTGCCAAAGCTCACAGACAGCACTGGGCCATCTAGCAGACGTCAGGGAGGACAGGTACTAATGACCAAGACCAGAAGGCCCTCGTCTCCACCCCTGTGTCTCTGCTGTATCAGGGGCCCCCTGAGAATGAGAGGCACCCCAGAGTGAACAGCTGGTGAGTCCCCACAGCAACTGAGATTGTCTTCCTTAAAAAAATGCTAGAAGTCATAGAAGAGAAGAAAAATAAGGAAATTAAACAAGGTGTGGTGGCACATGCTTGTAATCCCAGTACTTGGGAGGTTAAGGCAGGAAGAGTGCCACAAGTTTAAGGCAAGACCATGTCTCAAAAACAAAACAAAACAAAAAAGCAAAAAAAAACTTTCTTGGGGACCTGTATTTGATTTCCATCCTGACAATTATGCCCACTATCTTAGTTACTTTTCTTGCTGCTGAGACAAAATACCTGGCACCACAAATTAAGGGAGGAAAGGTTTATTTAGCTCACGGTTTGTGGAAGTTTCAGTCCGTAGTCGGCTGGCTCCATAGCAGAGCAGAGGGGCATCATGGAGAGAAGCAGCTCAGCGAGAACTAGGCAGAAGGCAGCAAGCAGCAAGCAGCAGCAGCTTTCCTTCTGCTTCTTTGTATTCCATCCAGGCTACCAACCTATTGACTGGTGCCACCCAGAGTCAGGGTGGGGCCTCCTTTATCCATACCCAGGATCCAGCCATCCAAAAAGCCTCCCAAAAGTCCTACCTATGAGTGCATGAGGCTCTGTAGGCCTAACACTCACTATCCTAGTTTCTTTCTCTTTCTTTTTTTTTTTTTCTGAGACAGGGTCTCACTATGTAGTTGAGACTGACCTGGAACTCACTGTGTAGCCCAGGCTGGTCTCAAACTCACAGTGATCCTCCTGCTTCAGCCTCCCAAGTGCTGGGATCACAGGTGTGTGCCACCATGCCCAGCTCCTAGTTTGTTTGTTTTTAGTACCAGGAATTAAACTCAGGACCTTGCACTTGCCAGGCAGGCATAGTGACTCTGGGCTACATCTCCAGCCCTGATTTTTCAATAAGGATATAACCATGTATTATTTGTATAAATTAAAAACAAATTTACTTACTGCATGATTCCACTTCAGTGAAGTCACTCTCAGAGACAGAAAGTAGGGTGTTGTTGCCCAGGGCTGAGAGAGAGGGTAAGGGAAGCGTTCAGTGCTCCCAGACTGGACTTCTCAGTCCAGGAAGACAAGAAGGTTGTGGAGATGGCTGCGTAGTGGTGTGAATGCACTTAATGCCACGCGGCAGCACACGCCACCACGGCTAGCTAGCGTGACACATTTTGTGTGATGCATGTTTTACCAAAACAAAACAGTGTAAAAGCAAAGAAAAGGTGCTGCACTGTTGCTCTACCAGTCCCGACTCCAAAAGGTCTCGGACACCGGCATGTTTCCTGTGCATCCAACCCCGCTCACACAGCCTGTCCACCGGCCCCTGCCCTCCAAGGGCCTTCGATTTGTTAAAAAGACGCCATCTTCCAGGTGCCACCGGCTGGTGGCTCAGCCAGTGCCAGCGGCCCACCACCTTCTCTTCCAATCAGTCACAGCCTCGCTGTTTGCAGTCTTGTGGGGACAGCAGGTGGGCAGCGGAGTCTCTGTCTCCCTCTCTCTGTCTCTGTCAGACACAGACACTCACACACGCACGCACGCGAAATGGAGCAGGCAGCTGTGACGCTGTCTGAGGACATAGCTGACGCCTTAGTAGCCTTGTGCAGTGCCGCATCCCTCCGTGGCAGCACCCAGGTCCCCGCCATCCACCCAAGCTGTCTTCCTCACTGTTTGGTTCTGGTCCCCAGGAGCCCTGCCCCGGTCGGCAGCCCTCAGGGGCTCCTCTAGGGGGCCCGAGGCCAAGCTCCGCTGTGCCTGCTTGGTGTCTAGGACGCTCAGATCCAGTGGGATTTGTCAGGGCGCCAAGGAGAAACTGCCCCGATTCTAGAGAGAACTGTCTGCGCCAGTCTCACTTGCTTGGGGAACTCTGATGGACAGTGTTCCCCGTCCACTTTGCCAGGTGTTGGCATCATATTTTGCTTTAACTCTGCTATCACCTTCCAAACCATTCCAAGTCCTCGTGTGCCACCCACAGCATTACTAATTATTACTAATTACTGAGGCATTACTAATTGCTTTCTGGGGGGTGGGGGGCATTGAGATAGGATCTCGCTAGGTAGCTCAGGCAGGCCTTGAACTCATTATGTTGCCCAGACTGGCTTCAAACACAGTGATCCTCCTGCCTCAGCCTCCCAAATGCTGGGATTATAGATGTGTGACCTCACTCAGTTAGTATTGTGTCTTTTTTTTTTTGGTGGTACCAGGGATCATCGAACTGGGATCTGCTTGCGAGGCAGCACGGTGCCACTGGGCTAAATCCCTGGCCCACTAATTGCTTTTTTAGAGGACTTTATAATAAAAAGGAAGAACTCTTGTTCACCAAAAAGACGCAATTTGGAGAATGATAAAAGAAAACACAGTCTAGGAAACCACATTCTCACCTCGGGGAGAGCACTTCAACGGTTTCAAGACAAACTGTTTATCTATCTTGGCCAGCAGCTTAGATCCTCTTCCAAATCAAGCCACACATCTTCTTCTTCTTTCTTTTTTTCTTTTCTTGTACTAGAGACTGAACCCAGGGGCCCTAAGCTGCATCCCCAGCCCTTCACTTTTGAGGCAGGATCTCCCTAAATTGCCCAGGCAGGACTTGAACTTTTGACCCTCCTGTTTCAGCTTCCCATAGTGCTGGGTTTGTAGGTGTAGCACACCATGCCTGGCTAACTGCGTGCCTCATGCATGTGTGTTTTACCCAGGAGTTAACTCAGGGCTTGTGACAGTACACAGCCAATAAAGCTTTTTCTTTTAATTTTAATGACTTTCACCAATCAAGGGTCTGAAAATGAAAGTGGGCAAGAGGGAAAGAGCTCCCCTCGGCTGAGGCAGGAGGGAGGGGCCTGCAGGGAAGGGTCTTAACCACAGGATAAAAGCATTGGATTTAAACCCACTGACAATGGGAAGCCCCTGACTTGTTGTTACTTTATTTTACGTATTTAATTTTTTGGAGACAGGGTCTTACTATGTGGCCCAGGCTGGCCTTGAATTTGCTGCAATCCTCAGCCTCCTGAGCGCTGGGATTACAGGTGTGGGAGGAGCTTGCCATCTCATTTACATTCTTCTTACAGTCAGAAAGGGTCACCTCTCATTCCCATTGCCAGGTTCTAAACTCCTGGAGGGTAGATACCTTGTCTTTGTATTTCTCAAAGCTGATGATTGTAATGCATGGCATATTGCTGGAAAAAAAAATGCTGCAGTCTGGTGTGACCTCACACACCTGTAGGCCGAGGCAGGAGGATCACTAAGAGATCAAGGTCAGGCTGGGCTACATAGTGAGACTCTATCGCAAAAGCACAAAAAAACAAATCAAAACTCTGAAACAATTCTCTGAGCCAGGTGAACACCTGAAATCCCAGCACCTAGGGAGGCTGAGGCAGTAAGACTGCAAGTTTGAGCCCAGCCTGGGCAATTTATCAACTTAGCAAGATCCTGTCTCAAAATTAAAAAGAAAAGCTAGAGATGTAGCCTTGGGTTCAATCCTCAGTACCAAATACGCACATGCGTGTGCGTGCAGGTGCGCGCGCACACACACACACACACACACACACACACACACACACACGAGTTCTGGGCTGGGGTGTAGCTCAGTGGTAAGTGGTTGCTTAGTGTGCACAAGGCCCTGTGTTCAGGTCTTAGTGCTCTTGAGTGTATGTGCACACTCACACTCACACTCACACACCTGTGCACACAAAACCTACAAAACTAAATGTCTGAAGAGATAAATGACCCCATGGATCTGGATAAAGAGGAGAAGGGTCTCTGTACAGGTGGCCAAAGCAATGAAGATGTTTCCCTCTTGGGTCCAGAAGTGCTTGTTTCATACTTTTTTGGCATCTGGACAGAGTGCTGAAGAGAGGCTCCTTTTGGACCAGTGAATCTGGGAAACAGGAACAGGCAAGAGCACTTCCCATCCTTCAGACCCTGGAGAAATTGCTCTATAGCAGGCAGTCTTTGGGCAGGAGTGAAAGTCCCACCTGTTAGCCCAGGTTCCTCTGTGTACTCAGCACGGCTGCGGGCCTTTGAACTCTCAGTCTACTACAGAGATAGGACCGGGCCATAAACATACACTTTCACACCAGGAACAATTAGGAGAAAACAGTAAATCATGATGCTGTGAAGGTCAATCAGAGCCAAGGAACTCCCTGGAGGATGAGACTCGCACAGGGTCCTGAAGGATGGGTTGTATTTGGATAAGAAAAATGAGTTAACAGGCATTTCAGTTTGCTGTTGTTTTGTGAGACAGAGTCTTGCTATGTCGTTCAGGCTGGCCTCAAACTCATAGTGATCCTCCTGCCTCAGCCTCCCAAATGCTAGAATTATAGGCATGTGCCACCATGCCCAGAGAATAGGGCATTTCAGAGAAGCCACACTGAAAGGCACAAATTAGGAGCGCATTGGAATTTTTGTGTACAGAAGTTATTATTATTCATTGTTAGTTGTTAGAGAATTCATTGTGAGCTGAGGCATGACCCTAAGCAATGAAAATGGACGACCTGTCCTCGAAGTGCTCCAGTCTGGGAGCTGGGCATGGTGGTGCATGCCTGTAATCCCAGCATGCTTGGAATCCTGGAGCCTAAAGCAGGAGGATCGCAAGTTAAAGACCTGCGTGAGCTACACAATGAGTTCAAGATCAGCCCAGACTTCATAGCGAGGCTCTGTCTGAAGCAAGCAAACAAACAGAGGAGTTCAAGTTTGGGAGGTGGGGAGCAGATACTCAGATATAGGTAGTGTGCATTAGTTTGCAAGAAGGTAAGTTCCCCACAAGTAGAAACCTTACCTGTCCTGTTCATCAGTGTATTCCCAAGTACCTAGCGCAGGGCCAGGCACAAACAGATGCTCAACAGATGCATGCTGAGTGCAAGAATGCTGGCTTGGAGATATGGAATAGTACTGACGTGGACCATTCAGCGAGCACACACACCTGCCAGGCACTCTACCGAGTTTTTGTTTTTTGAGATAGGGAGTCATCATATTTCATGGTTGGCCTCAATTCCTGGCCTCAAGCGATCCTCTACCCTCAGGCACCTCTGTAGCTGGGGCTACACACGAGTGCCATTGCACTTGAGTTTTACACAGGGGGTTTTATTTGATCCCCTAAACCCCTGAAGTACTATAATTAGATCGTTCAAACAGATTTGGGACCCAAGGTGCTACATAAGCAACTTCTCAGGCCTCTCTGAACCTGGGGTCTACTGTTCAAAAGCTGCTGGGAAAGTTTCTCTGGTAGCTGATTGAAAAATGCAGGAGAGCCGGGTGTGATGGTGCACGCCTGTAATCCCAGCACTCAGGAGGCTGAGGCAGGAGGATTGCTGTGAGTTCAAGACCAGCCTGGGCTACATAGTGAGTTCCAAGTCAGTCACAACTACATAGTGAGACCCTGTCTCAAAAAAAAAAACAAACAAACAAACAAAAAAAATGCAGGAGAATCTCTAAGACAGGAGGGCTATGTGTGTGAAACAGCATTAGGGGACCAAGCACGAATTACAGCAGTTATAGCAGTAATGGAGAAGACAGGGTTATTTTGGTACATCAAAGGGCTTCTAAGCAAAGCTCAGAACTTGGTAGCTTGCTGGACGTTGGAGATGACTAAGTTTCTCATCAGGGAATAGCAATAATCCTAGTAGGGAGAGAGAAAAAAAAAAAAAGAATCCTAGTAGAAATAGCTTTTCTCAAACTCCTAGCTCATTTTAGAAGTATGATCCAAACCTCCAGGTTTCCTGTTTCCCAAAGCACTTAGTCAAGCGCTGGTCAGACACAGTAGTGAAGATCCAGCTCCAGAAGCCACTGAAGAGGGCAGAATAAGAAAAGCCCGGAGGATGCAAACAAGCCCATTTTGGGAGTACTCAAACTCGGGACCTTACAAAGGAAAAGGCGTGACTTGGCGGAGAACTACAACTCCCACTAGGCATTAGGCCTAGCATAGGACTTCCGGTCACGTCTCACTTCCGGTACCTGGGGCGCTGACGTTCCTTTCCGGTCGTGGTGGCTTCCGATAGGCGTTAGGGATGTACACGGTGAGTCCGAGACGAGGGGAGAGGCGCGAGGCTTGTGTCTGCTCACCATTCCGCCGCGGGAGGGTAGCGGGAAGGGCGGAGGGCGCCGGCGGGTGACGAGTAACCTGGGCTTGAGGAACCCCGCGGGACCCAGAAAGGGATTTGGGGGACCGAGACGAATGGCACCCCAGGACATGGCGTGGCAGGGTGGGGGGACCCTGTGGAACTGGGCAGAGGAGGAGAGGGGCAGGGGGAACGCTGAGGGGAGGGGAGGGGACCGGCGAGGCTGCCCCGGTTCCGAGATCGGCATCCCATAGAGCCCGCGTCTGGCCACGCTTCTCCACGATCCACCAGCGATGCTCGCCCGGCCTCGGGACGAAAGGGGGCAGTGGGTAGCGCTGGCGCCCGGGCCAGTCCTGGGCTGAGGGCGGAGATGGTGGGAGACAATGGGGAGAGGTCGGCGCCGTGGCTTCTGCGTCGTGTGTGCAAGGGCAGCTGCTCTGCTGGGATCAAACGGGGCTGGCAGGAGGACTTGGGTGACTTTTACTTTCTCGGGTTCACTGCCTACTGTGCTCTTTTCTCCAAAGATGAGGCTGCTGGCATTTGTGACGTTGGTTCTGTTAGCTGTCGCCCGAGCAGAGGAAGGAGCCAGGCTTTTGGCTTCCAAATCGCTGCTGAACAGATACGCTGTAGAAGGGCGAGACCTGACCTTACAGTACAACGTCTACAATGTCGGCTCAAGGTGAGAGTGGCCTGGGCTGGGCCCCTTTTGGATTCTTAGTTCTCAGGTGGGTGTAGAAACATCCTTTGGTTAGTAATTTCTCTTTGGGAGACCTGCAGCATTAGCTTTCTTGAGTAAATGAATGTACTACTGGGCCTCTTAGACATGGAGGACTTTCTTACCTGAACTATGAGAAATCATTTTCTGGATTTTTTTTTTTTTTTTTTTTTTTTTTTTTTTTCAAGG